AAACACATAAAATGATACAAGGAAAAACACCCCACCCATACATATATGTGTTTTTATATCCTTGTGGGGACATCTTGGGCTGCTTTCACACTGCAGGTCTTAATGCTCAATTCCGATTTTTTTTGATCAAATCCGATTTTTTTGTCTGCTTGTTCACACTACAAATAAAATGTGACAGCAAACGTGCTCCTGTGTGAACCCTCAAAGCGGCCCGCAGTCGCAAAAGAAGACGTCACACACAACGCGCTCTGTTCAGACCCAGACCAAACAGTATTGTTTGACTGATGGCCGTTAATATAAAGACTTGTTTCGGACTTTACGTTCCCCAATTTTTCTTTAAGTTATTTACATATGGCCTAATAATGATCCTTATTGCAATTTTAGAGAGGAGCGGTGCTTCAAAGGATAGTTGCAGATTTCTGTCAGAATCTGCAGATTATACAGTACAAATAAAATGTTTGCGCTTCCCAACAGCTCACTAACATCTACACGGGAGGGACAGGAAGCGTTCACGATATCTTTTCGGGCGCTTCTCTGGCGCTGATAATTGGCGTCTGTTTTGTGTCAGTGACGTAAAACACGGATTTAATGCGACATCACCATTCACACAGCAGTCGCTTTCTGAAACATCAGATATGTATCGGATTCAGTACCACATACGAAAGTGACCCAGATCGGATTTGTAAATATCGGATTTGTGCCGTTCACACTGTCATACCATGATCAGATATGGGTCGCATAGGGTCAAAAAAGTCGGATTTGATGGCTTTTGTGCAGTGCACGTAGCCTTATTGACACAATGCTTAGCTTACCCTAACCATCAAAAATGAATGCCTAACCCTGACCCTAAACCACATTTCAAGTCTCAAAGATGCCTTCAAACTCATCACAATGACGGTAATACCCGTACCCGTCCACACACACACACACACACACACACACACACACACACACACACACACACCAAGCAACAAAACAAACTAAGTGAGAAGTGACAGACCCAATTCTATCCTAAGGATATCCGGGTAGCTCATATATGACTCATGCATTAATCACCATTAAATAAATTAAATTAAATTAAATTGTTAGTCATCGTTGTTACTTTAGCACTTTGATTACCTACAGATTATATTCAGACAGTGAAATCTATAAATATATGACAGCCCACTGAAATGTGTTCAGTGAATTGTTGGAGCGGAAATGAAAAAAAAAGTACCTCAAACATGAAGTACGAAGGTGGCTAAATATAACAATAACCCTTTTGTGTTAACTGTCAAGTCATTCTTGTTTACACATACTCTCGAACAACAACAGAAGAGTCCAAACCAAAAATCTTTCTAGATAAAGGCGTTTACGTTCCGGATCAGCAAAGATAACCCTGATATGAGACGAGAACAGACGGATGGATAAATAAATAAAAGTAAAATAAATTAAAATAAAGACTGTTTTAAAGTGTGTGCAAAACTGGGAAAAGTGTGATTTGTTTTGCTAATGCAGTTAACTGCAGAAGTGTCAGTCATTTAGCTGCCATGAACATGTATTCATATTAATGATGATGACACTTCATAAATCATGGTGCTCTGCTCAACCTGAACTCTGTGACTGACTGAAAACATGGATGAATGTACTGCGGGACACCACAGGGTGGCAGCAGAAACTATAATCAGGAGCTTGAACGCTTTGTTTGTTAAAATTTGAACTCATCTGATCTTTCTACAATGTTATCTTCGTTGAAAACAGACATTTATTGACAACATTTGCTATCTTCATCTCTCTCATCTGACATCTTATGTGTGGAAGGATGCAGCGCATTCTATTACATTGTTATACCGCCACTAGGGGGAGCCAAAGTAGGAGCTCTTTGCCTCCAATTTTACATTGACTGACTTCAAAGGGGCAGTTTGTTGCAGTGTGGTCTCAATTCTGTATTTTCTCATTTTTAAAACTGAAACACTGAAGCCTTTTTATTGGAAAAAAATCATAATAAATACGGACATGATTCAGTTACAATAACAATTTTAATCATTCTTTTGAAGTTTGTGATTGACAAGCAACACAATAAATATTTTCCTTTAAATTATGGTAAAAATATTATTTGGAATTCATTTGGTCATTGAAGTTTTGTATTTATAATCTCTGATACTGTAACAACCCTTGTTATTGACAGTGCCTTGCTGTAAACTCATCTGTCAGGTGTTCAAAGTTTTGTAACTTTCAGGTTTATACTTTTTAACTCAGTTTTCAGGTTTTGTCACATCTGGCTGTGTAGCAAGCAGGATGTGGACCCAAACATCTAAAGAAAATCAGCTTCAATGCTGAACTCAATGCAAAATAACAAGACAGAGGGGAAATAAAATAAAATTCTTCTTTTTTTTTAAAGTAAAACATGTCACCAAATACAAAGCAGTAATTAAGTAAACAAAAACAACAGACTAACATACAAACTTAACACAATGGGGAGACTTGACAGTAACAGGAGGCTAAATAGAATAAACAATAAAATACTAATAGCAAAACATGCTCAAACTGAAACAAGAAATTAAGGCTCAAGACATTAAGGTGATATTAAATACAATAATAAATTAAATTGAAACCTCTGGGTCCAAAACCCAGGATCAGGTTTATTTAAATAGCACCAAATCACATCAAGTCACCTCAAGGTAAAAACCCTGCTGTATCCTTGAGAGCAAGCACTTTGTGAGAGTGGGAAGGAAAAACTGCCTTTTAACAGGAAGAAAACTCAGCAGAACCCCTCTCAGGGATTCTGAAGCGACCATTTGGGGGTAGAGGGGAAGGAGAAGATAATTCTTAAACCCGTAACAAACTGGATTGATCCTACTTGTGATCCCAATCAGCTTGTAACCTTGCAGCTGCTGCCTGTGACCTCTTTCATCATGGCTGCTTTAAAATGATGTTAGTGCCTCCTCTTTTCTGCTTGGAACACAAAATCTTCCTTTCTTTTGGATTCCAGTTTATCTCACTGGTTAGGATTGGGGTTACGTGTGCATATTGACGACGTGCAGCAGCCTGGTTTTGAATTCAATTTGGGGCTCTTTGCTGTGTGTCTCCTCCTCTCTTTCTTGTCTACTCTTGACTGCTGAACTGTCAAATATAAACAGAAAAGCCCCAAAATAAATGTTTTAAAACAAAAATCTTTCTTTCTTTCCGCAAAACAGTGTAGGCTACGCTGTAAAGGTCTGCTGAAGTTGGCCCCATAACGCTCCACAATGACCAATCAACCTAGCCTGAAAGTACCACAGCACCACCATAGCCAGTTTAAGCACCCCGGGTGATGCCCAATGAGGCTTTAATCCCCTCCCTCTCAATTTAGGCTCCTGTTCTGTGAACTCTCTCATTCAGAGTTGTGACATGCATTTGCTAAAATGGGGACGAGAGCTGGCCTCGATGGGGTTATTTTAAGAGACCTAAAACGGGACGTTGCATCAGTCTGGAAGGAGTTTAAGCTGAGATTCCTCCACAGAAGCTCCATCACTATTACTCTATCACTGCTTAGTTATTAATGCTGTAAATTAACATGTTTGCGCCATGCCCATTGATAGCGATGGCAATGAGCACATAGTGAGGAATGTTTTACTCTATGTTGCCTCATGTTGTAGTTTCACCATTGATTCAGGATTATCTGTGAACCAGCGTGTTGCAAGTTAAAAACTCCGACTGCGCCGTGTCTCGCTCTGGTTTCACATATCTGCTGAATTGAAACAAGATTTTGAAATTGGAACTGTGCACTGCTCTTTATTTGATTTAAACCATCATTGGTGCAAACATGTCATGTGACAAAAATGTTCAAATGTCATTTTTTCTTTTTTTTTCTTCTTCTTCTTCTTTTTTTTTTGTCCTTGGCCCTTTCCAAACTCCTCCCTAATTCTGTAGTGCTGTCAGAGGCTTCCCTGTGATTTGCATGTGGTATGAGTCACAATAACCATTTAAAAGGCTTTCTCATTAACCAGAACTTCCATCTCCACATGCTTAAACTAGGCCACTGCAATTCACTGCAGCGTTAATTCTGTGAAATGCATGTCATGCTGCTCTCCTGCTGTGTTCTGGTCTTGCTTGTGCCCGGTCCAGGTTTTACGGCACCCACATTTACACCGAAGGAAGAAAGCACTCCTACACCAGAACCACAGGCTGACTTGAAGCTGGCCACAGTAAGTGTATAATTGCACGAGCTCCTTTTACAAATGTTTTCAGAGTGGACTGCATGTGAATTGATGTCTTGTACGATGCAAAGTCATGCTAAATTGTCAGTGATTTTACTGCAGGGTTAAAGAATTTGGAAGGATGCATTATTTCCTGTGCGTATTTTAAGATATTTCCTTTTATTACATTTGTTTTTATGTGGGTGGAGGGTGGAGGTACACAACTGCACTGCCCTCTCAGCCCTTGATGCTGTTATATTATATCCTTTAAAAGATTTGCTTGGCATTCCCATTTTCACATTCTTCATCCCAATTTAATTCCTTACATCTATTTTTTTTGTCTTTTCCTTTGAAGCAAGTTGCTTGTCTTTGTTCCATCTTGTGCCGGCTTTTTATGCAAGTGTAATTGATAGTTGATGCTGAAAATAAGGGCATTTATGTTGAAGCCATGATAGCTCAGTCAGACTTTTTATAGCAGTTCATAATCTGTAATGCATGTTGTGATACAAGAATAAAGTTTTGCAGTAACTAGGCTAAAATTAAGAATCCAAAATTCTGACTTTAGCTAATTAAATTACTCCACTATTCAGTCAGTTTACGCCAACCACATTTTTCTTAATGATTAATTATTGGAATTAATAAACATTTGATTTATATATTTCTGTTGCATTTTATTTAAAATGATTGCTTTCTGTTTATTAAAGGTGCAGAATTGTTTTGTTGTTGTTGAGTGAATCAAACCCTCTTTTGTGCAAAATGCTATCTGATGTGATCTGATCTTAAATCTACTTTAAGGACTATCTCCAGCACTATTACCACCTACAAAATGATCCTCTGGGGCGCATGAAACGAAGCGGCCTCTCTTTTACCTCCAAGGTGAAAGACATGCAAATTTTCTTTGGGCTGAATGTGTCGGGAAGACTGGACTCGGATACCCTGGAGGTGATGAGGAGTCCTCGATGTGGCGTTCCAGACGTGGAGGAGTACAGCCACGCCCAGACGACGCGCTGGAATAAGAATGTCATCACCTACAGGTATTTACTGTGGTCTTCACTGATGCTTAATGATCATGCGTAATGAAAACTATGTGGAAATGAATGTTATATAGTGGGCATGTCTAACCTTGAATGAACTCAGGGGGGAAATAAAAAAACAAACTGTCTGGCTGTCTTCACCAAACCTCAGAAATATGTGAGGATCATTTTAAGAAGACAATAAACCCTTTGGCAGAAATGGAGAATAGCCACTGTCACAAATCCTTATGGCTTTTGGTTTGGGACTTCTGGCTTTGAGGGTCACTGTGGGCTTGTTAGAGTGCCAAGCTGACCATACATGCTTTAACTTATGTAACACTGTCTGAGACATCCTTATACATTCCTGTGCAGATTCATTTTGAGGCATGCCTGCTGGATTACATACTGAGTAAATGTATAATTAAAGAGTAACAAAGAAAGACAATTGTTTTTGTTGTTATTAAAAAAGAGACTTTATTCAAGTTAGTGTAATGTTTTGGTATCACGGAAATTTTTATTTCACAAAACCTTGCAGGAATAACCTAACCGTGGCACAGCTCCAGATCTCTCTCTTTAAAACAGTGAGACAGGGCATTGGCTTTAGTGGATGACTGCACCCCCTGAGTGCCCTTCTCTTGACTCTTTAACAGGAAGTTTACACAATAACTACACGATGTATGAAACTTGGTGAGGAGTTGGATGGAGAAAAAGGGAGACCATTCATTTTTGCTGCAGATCTGGATCACATTCAAAAGTTATGAAATAGAGAATTGGCCTAGAAAGATGGTGCTCTCTACAATACATTTGTATTGCGTGTGCAGTTTGATATTAATCAGCGTGTGTTGCTCTTGTAGCATTGGCAGGTACACCAGAGATTTGCCTCGCAGCACTGTGGACTCTTTGATAGAGTCAGCTTTCAGCGTCTGGGCCAGAGCCAGCAGTCTGACGTTTGTCAGGTCAAACACTCGCAGTGCTGACATCATGGTGGAGTTTGCGAGCTATGGTGGGTTTGTATTTTGTTCTACACGGTGCAGTCATGGAATATAACAGAAAGAAAAGAAATTCTCAGCAGCTCTCAGCCTATTATCTTATGCAAATATAACAGAGCAGCAATTGTACACATAGGAAACTGCAGTAGTAATTTCATTGTTAACCAAGGTAGCGTCATCATGCACTGGCTGCTAAACTCAACTGACTCATTCAAATGAGGTGAAGAGAAGCCTATAATTTTCTTTTGGCATGAAAGAAAATGGTTTTCTCTTTGGTTTCTGTTTCGTGTTTGGCCTGGATTGTATCATTTAGCACACGGTGACTTGTTTCCATTTGACGGGCCTGGAAGGACACTGGCTCATGCTTTCGGTCCGGGGTCAGGAATCGGCGGGGACACACACTTTGATGATGCTGAGCGCTGGACAGCAGGAGAAACAGGTGCTGAACCAACCAAACTAGAAATAAAATTGGAAAAAAGAACGCTGGAAATCAATCACATCTTTTCGAACGCACTTCTCTTTTTGCTGTTTCAGGTTTCAATCTGTTTGTAGTGGCAGCTCACGAGTTTGGCCATGCTTTGGGTCTGAAGCATTCCAGAAACCGAGAGTCACTGATGTTTCCAAACTACAAACCCTTCCGTTCAGCAAACCTGTTATCCAGTGAAGATGTAGCCAGCATCAAAGCACTTTACAGTAAACACTTTGGATGTATTCCTGAGTAATCCTCAAATTCAAATGCAGTTTTTGTGTGAAATAATTTTCCCAATTAACATATCTATATTTGCCTGTGTTAGGTCCTATCAGAGGTCATCTAAATAGTCTTCTGACAAACTTTCATCGTAACAACTGGTTGTCTAGCGTACTATTCCCTCGACTCGTGCGGGACAAATGTGCAGCAGACTTGACCTTTGATGCAGTTTCCACTCTCGGGGATTCCACCTTCTTCTTTAGAGAAAGGCATGTTGATGACTAATTTGCTTGAAGCTGTCCGTACTCTTTAGTCAAATCATCACAGCACCATTAGAAGATTTAAAAATACTATTTAAAACATGAAAAATTTTATTTTTTTAAATAAATTAACTAACACTATTTCCTCATGCCAGGTATCTCTGGATTAAGCATAATCATGAGGATGACATCAAGGAGGGTCCCATCTCAAACTTTATGCCCAAGATTGAAACCAGCATTGATGCTGCCTTCTGGGTACCTCGCAGATCCACTGCTTACCTTATTCATGGTAACCACACAGTGTCACAGTTTTCAATAAATCTTGGGCTCTGTTGTGCCCTACCCCATAATTCTATGTAGTGCTCCCAAATAGCTTTCCTACTGCAGAAACCTTAGAATTGATAGTAATAACTATACACCTTTATATGCTCCTTCCTATGTGGAGTCCCTCAAGGTTCAATCCTTGAGCCACTTCTGAATTCATTATATATGTTACCTCTGGCTCCTACCATTGCTTTCCTGAGTGCAAATCTGTAAATCTCTGTTAAGCCTAACATGCTTGCTAAACTTCGATTGCTTTTATGGGAATTTCTGAATACATTTCAAAAATTTGAATAATTACCTAAAAAGCCCTACATTGCAGCTCCTGCTTATGCAGCAGAGACCTTATCTGATCTGGGCATTTTGACATTCTTACTTTAAATCCAGAAGTGACCACACTTTTGAGGTTGTAGTGCCTTTTCAGTTTGACTGAATCTGTGGTTTTCTTAAACTGTTAGAAACTCGTTTTTCTGGATTAGTGTTTCCATAACCTTTCTCACAGTCTGTGCATGTATGAACAAATGTAAGAATGTAAGCTTGACTGTGTGCTTGGATGGTGGGATATGTGCACTTTCTTTATGTATGATTTTGTGCACAAAGTACTTTT